TTTTTTTTCTGATCTCAGTAATGCTTGCCCTTAATTTGAAGACATTTTTCTGTTTATTATGGAAATAAATTGTAACAAGACTGATTAACTACCCCAGAGGCAAAATCGACAGTTTAGATTAGGGGTGGCCAATCTTATCCGCAAACGGCCGCTGTGTGTGCGGGTTTTCGCTGCAACTCTCTAATTAGATTACTAATTAGAGGATTGATTGGCTGAAGAGTCCTCATACCTGGATTTTAACACTGTTATGGTAATGAGTTCAAGACAATGACCAATATACTCCACTTTGTTGATTCTACATTAATTTCAAGATTAGATATTTATTGTCTTATGCATTAAGTACAGGATGGACTAAAATTCAGTGAAATTCTTAACGTGAATGTCTCTTCGTAGCCTGACCACTTGAACGATAATAAATGCAAATGAGAATTCAATGTATAAATATCTATGCTAATTATTTTAATATTAATGTGATACCACAGCCCTAGTGCCTACAAAAGAATTTGTAATGATGTGGGTTTCTGGTCATTGTTGATTTGCTTTCTGCTGTTAGACCAGTTTTTGCCAGTAGAGGGAGCCAGTGCCGTTTTGTCAAGGTGGGCCGTGATCCTCAAATAAGTTCTACTAAAAGAGAGATTGATGCTCTACTAGAGGTTTGATCTGGTTGAGTTACTGGACAGGGCAGCACTTGCTAGGAAACTCCGGCTGAAGAGCAGCGGTCGTAATAGACAGGCTGTTGTTGCTTTTTCTTTATTCTCAAATTTACACAACACACTTCAGGGTCTTGTCTGTGTTAAGAATCTTGTGTGCAGCGTTGCTGACCTGTTAATCCCGGTTGCTTCAGTAAATTGGCAGCTGTTTAACCTGTAAATGGTTGTTTACGGGTGGTTTTGGGTGGCGGTAACTGCGATGTCACTGTACCCTCCCGCCATTTCGAGTCGTAGCGACGGCGGAAAGAAGGCGAGCTGTGGGGCCAGGTGTGGGTGAGGTGCGTAGCAGGTATGCGCACGTGTGCAGAGCCTGGCCTGGCAGCCTCCACCCTCAACCCCTGTGTCATTCTGGGCCTGGGGGGGCCTGCTCTCCCACCCTGCCTTCTGGGGCTGATGGTGATCTTCCTGAAGGCTGCTTGACCCTGTGGTAGTAGTACTGGGGGCAAGACCTAAATAAGTCTCTAGAATCTCAGAAATTACACTTCGGTTTCAAAGAATTAAACGGGCTCTTTAGGAAATTGACAGAATAGCTGCCTTTAATGATGTTTTCTTATTTTCTGGGGTGCTCGATTTAATGTCACAGAGAACAGAAACCCACCACGGTTCATATCCACAAAGTTTGAACCACTTGCTAAGAAAATTAGCTTTATGCTTTCGAGAATTGTTGCGACTTGTCAATGAGAAGCTGAGTGAAGTGCCATTAGCGGGTAATAGCATGATGTTGGCTTAATGAGCCTGTGGCTAATGATGGCGCTTTTAATTCTGCCATCATTACAGCCTCGCGCTGCGCCGTTTCCTGCGTCTGGCCTGAGTCACCCGCTTCCGGCAGCGCTGGGCCGCCCGTGCCGTGTCCACGAGCCGCACGGGAAGTTTGCTCTGACTTTGTGGTGTTTGAGCGGAGAAGGTGCGTCGCGTGACGTCACCACCGTGGAATGTTTGTAGAAGGTAGGGCAGGCCTTCTGGGAATGTACAGAGAGAGGGAACAAGTAGGTGGGAAGGAGGGAGGGAGGGAGGGAGGGACCTGGGACTAAGGGACAGAATATTCCATCAGGCTCCATGCTTCTCCCTTTATTTGCGTCACAGTTCATTCAAAATTTCATAGCTCGGTCTCGGAAGTCATTTTCCACAATAGATTAAAACACATTTTTTTAAATGAATAGTTAACAACTGGTTTCAGTGATTTTAAAAGCTCGCTGTTACTACTTGTACAGTTGGTTCCTTGCACAGTCGGTACATATTTTGACTAATGAGAAATGCTTTATGCAAGTAATTTGTCAGTACATGCGATTAATTGCTGTTGACTCGGAGAACAGCGCAAATACTTTAAAAGAATGGAAACACCACAAGTCCAAGTACTGAATCATCTGTTAGTGGTTTAATGTTGGTATTTATTATTTTAATTAGGGGATGTCTGCCACCAAGGTTCCTTAATCAGAGGTTCACTGCATTAAGTACTACTTGTATGTATATGTTTATTTTGTGGATGAGGTTGGGCATCTTCCACTGGTGATTGTTTGTCCCTCATGCTGATGGGAAGTGCACTGCTCTGTTGGCGTGAGCCTCTGCCAGCCTCCCACATGGTATGGCTCCCATCTGACCATTGGTCTGCTCGGGGGGAGCAGTTTGAGTGAATTTGCCCAACATACAAACAGAATGTGGAACCGTGTATAAATATTTAGCTGCAGATGAGGCCCTTCACAAGTTCTCCTGAGTGGTTGCATGGTAGATTGCAGCTTTGAGATCTCCAAAATGACGACTCCTGAGTGTTGTGCCAGGCCCATTGGGTGCTGGATTGCAGGAGAAGGTACAGTGAGGATGCCGTTCTTCAGTGGAGATTGTTAGTTTGATTGTAGAAGCTTCTGTTCAGCTGCCATCAACATAGTACACACAATAGTCCAATATGGAAATTACTGTTGCATCGTTTCACTTCCATTTCATTAAAATCGTATTTCAGACCCAAACGCTTCATGCATTGGTTTATAAAACTGGTATAATCTGTGAGGTGGGCCTGTGCTGGACATGACGTTGGCTCCGCCAGTATGGAAGGTTCACGAAGGCTGCTATCTGAGTGACAGATCTTTGTGAAAGTGTTGCTTTGAGGGCCTGGACGTTTTGGGTTTCAGAACACTCTGCGGAGGAACAGCTATCGTACAGCTGAAAGCAAATATCCTGTTTGCATGACGGACGTCTGCACAGAAAGGTCACGGAGCCCCGCCCGCCCCCGCGCCACGGCTGTCGCCCGGCACGGTGAGACACGCCGCTCTCCTCTTGGCGGCGGGGCTCCGCGCACGCCCTCCAGCCCGTGGGAACCCGCCGACAGGCTCGGTCACGCTTCGGTGGGGGAGACGATGCCGATGCCCAGGCCCCACCCTTGGAGCAGGGAGGTGGAATGGTATTGGCTCCTGGTGCTCCCTGCCGCCTGGGGCCCCGCCTCCACCACCTCCTACCCCCAGCTGCGAGAACTCCCTGCCCCTTATGACTGGAAAACCTGCACCCAGTGAACTCTGAGTCAAAACGGCCTGTCTGTAAGCTGCAGTGTGGAGCTCGGTTTCCAGAATCATCTCGGGGTAAAAAGGGCCCTGTTTCAGTAGTCGGTCCTGTAGTTTTGTGCGTGGAGGTTTCGCCGTGGCCCTGTCCCCACACACACAGGACTGAGTATTAGCTAATGATTGGCCGGGTTAAGGATTTACAGCCGACGGCTCGCTGTTTGTTTGAACCTTGGTGACCCGTTGTGTGACAGCTGGTCCAGGCTGTTGCTCTGGTTGTTCTTGTACATGGGGCGGAGCGACGTTTCTGGGTGAACCCACGTGAACCCACACGGGCTCCCCATCCCCCCTGCGCAGCGAATCTGCTTGCATTCGGAGGAATCGCAAAGTGCACGCTGACCCAGTGTAACTTCCCCGTACAAACCTCGAGGTTTAGCTCAAGCTTGTCTTCATTTCCTCCCCGTTAAACAGGCTGCATGTGGTTACTCTCCAGAACTGTAATCATATTCATTTCAACAGTAAATGTTTGACAGCTGCATCGAAATAATTCGTTATTAATACAAATTACTTATCAATATCTGTTAACCACACAGATCGTTTCCAGGCAAGCAAGCTTTC